CCGTTGTTATTTGGCGGGCCCGGGCTGGATTTGAACCTCCCACCTTAGGTGTATGTGGCTGGTGCCTTAGCCACTTGAGCCACAGGTGCCGAGCCTTAACATCTTTCTAAATAAATTCACTTTTTAAAACTTAGCCTTATCCTAAATAACGCACATATATGAAATAACAAGCTTGACAATGCTAGTTATTTTTTTCTTTATATTGATAAATATATAACTACCAAATTTAAAAAATAGACATACTACCTAAAATTATCTAACCAATAGTACACACACACTGAAAACAGTATAGTTAATGATTGTTAAGTCAGTTTTTGACCACCTCCTTCACTCCTTATAATGTCAATGTCATGCATCCATTACAGACAGGTTTGCCAGGTCTACCTACTACACACCAAGGTTCTATGGTGTGGGCTATCACTCCATGCTACTGTACCGAATACCATAGGTTAACTATTGCACAATGGTGAGCATTTGTGTATCTGAACATACCTAAACACAGGAAAGGTGTAGTAAAAATACAGCATTATAATCTTATGGGACCACATGAGATCAATCACTGACCAAAATGTTATGTGGCACATGACTGTACTTTAAATCCATCCTTTACTATGACTCTTGCACTTACTCCGAACTCTTCATTCTAGTGTAGGCCCTCATTTCATGTATATCTTGGTTATCTTGATGCAATAGGCCCCTAGAAGTCTCTTGCCTCAAATTTTTACTTCATCCTATATTCTGCCACCAAACTTTAGCCTCCCTATAAAAAAACGAGTTTTGGCCTCTACTCAAATCAATCAATCTCAACTTTTCAGGCCACTGGAAATAACCACTCAATGTCTTCAGGAAAAAGTATTCTATAAACTGGTCCTGGGTCTTCCTTTCTATCCCTATCCATTTAATTAGTCTTGAAATAGGCACTGTGTACTTTGTCTCTACAGCTTCATTCATTCCTATCTTCAACCTGAAAAGCCCCACTCTCAAGCCAAAATTCTACCTAGTTCAAATAGTCTCTCTTCTAAGACACCTACCTGACTATTAGAATCTGTACACTATATTAGCCA